TTGAACTCTGTCTGGCATTGACCTCCACAACTGCTCAAAAAACTCAGAAGGTATTGTATCCCATACCATGGGTAATACCTCAGCTAGCTTCTGCTTGACCTTCTCAGGACCACCAGGTGTTGAAGCAATGTCAGGATACTGAATCTGAAGCCTTTTCTTCAACTCAACCCCGACATGTTCTATGGGATTAAGGTCTGGTGAACAAGGAGGGTGTTCAGCCAACTCAATCCCATTTTGGTCAAACCAATCTTGCACTGTCTGAGCTGCATGAACAGTACAGTTGTCTTGCTGGAAGATAGGATCACCAAGGGTGTCACAGACTCACTCCAGGACTGGAATAAGGCAGGTTTCAAGCAGCTGGAGGTAGACCCACTAGTCTACTGATTTCACAACTAAGGGAACAAAGGTTCCCCTGTTTCTGCCCCAGAAGCATCCCCAGACCATCAAAGAAATCCCCTTTCCCTTTCCTATCCCTCTCACACAGTCTGGATGCCACTTTTCAGAAGCAGATCTGAATACCCATTTTTACTTTGGATTCTTGCTCTTTTCCACTGAGCATTCATCACTCCAAATAACACCTTCAAACTCCTCTGTAGCCCAATTCTCAGGCTGGTGCCCCTTAGCCCAGGCCAGCCTCTTCTGAGCATGCTCCAGTGAAAGCTTCGCTCTTTTCTTGGCTAGCCACTTCTTAATGCCACTCTCCCTGAGAGCCGGTCCATTGTAGAAACTGAGACATTGGGAGCCAATATCTGCCGCAATTTCTCTCTACTCCAATCTCTGTAGAGCTTGGCCCCTCAAACTAATGATCTCTTAGCTCTCTGGGAAAGCAGGAGTGGTTGACCAGAACGTGGGAGGTTTTCAACCGAACCCCACTGGAGAGACCAGGCAAGGAAATTCTGGACTGTTGACCTTGGGCAGCCAACAATCTGGCTAACAATTGAAATTTGCTGAAAACCCTCGAAGAAAGCAAGGATCAAGCCTTTCTCAACTCCAGTGAGCTCTTTGCGTGATGTCTTGGGTGCCATGGTTGATGTGGTAGGGAGAATTTGATCAGTCGAGTGACTGTGGTTGGGTTGCATCACCCTCACTTACCTGCCTTTTTCACCAAGACTTTTGCTTAGGTACTTTAGAGGACAACCCACTCCACTTAAGTACTGGGAATGGGTCCTACTTGTCCTACGCTATACTCCCCAATTTGAAGACTACGCTGGGTACCAGAAGATCACGTCAACTACAATTCCACTCCAGATACCCTGTACCTGGAAAAGATAAAAAATAACAAAAAATAGTGACCTACTATGAGAGCCAACCCTGAATAACGGCAACATTATCTCTTTACTGGAGTTTTAAAGATAAGATACTGTATTTGACTTATCTTGTGCCAGTTCAGATTTCATGTGAGAGCTTGATTAACTTTTCTGGTGCTTTTTGTAGGGTAGTTGGTTCTATACTAAGTTTACACTGGAAAATATCAACCTCTCCCACACCACACCCAACATAGCGAATCTTTGTAGGAGCTGTGCTGCATCCCTCACAAGCCAGTCCTAAAACCAGACTGGTCATATCAGATCACTCGAAAGGACAAACAGGGCAACAAGACTTTCAGAAACGGATAATGTCAGGGGTTGGAAGTCTGTGGCAAGTTGTCAATCCATGTATAAATAGTTGTCTGTGGCAGGTGAAAGATTTTGTTTAGTCGAACTTTTTTTTACCTCCTGGGAGGGTATATCAAGTGGCTTGCGGGAGAAGTGCCACATTGCATCCTTGGATACCAAAACCCGGGTATTTTACCAGAAGGGGGGTTTCAGTTACCGGGAGCTTGAATGACTTGTGAAAGAAGAGTTCTGTTGACAGAAGGAATGCGGAATATCACGGGGACCAAATCTACTCAGTCCTACAGCAAACCGGCGATTCTCTCATACGTATTCCTGGCAGCCCTGTCGGGAGGTGTTGTGCCATACCTGGGATTAGTTATGTTGGAGTTAAGGCTATTTCGTGCTAGTAGTATTGTAGGGGCCCTCTGATGCTTAATCCAGACAGCTCATGATAGCAGTGTTCAACCACAGTGGGTCTCCCAATAACAGCTGTAATTTGGGAGTGGGTGGTGAATTTGACAACTAATCAGTGACTGAGTAATCAGAAACAAGTACTCAGATAGCAGGGCAAGTCTGTGAGTGTTGACAATCAGGAGTTACTGGGCAGTATGCTCTCAGAAGTGTCACGAATATTCTGTTTTGGCTCCTGGTTGAAGCCAGTTCCTGACTAGCGATGTTTTGACAGTGGAAAAGATTTTTCCCTATGTAGCAACAGTGTTACAGACTAGTGATGCGAAACGAGAAAATCTTTTCTCTTCACACTAGTATCAGGGGAGAAGGATGGAAGTATTTCCACGGAGGTTTGGAAGTTCGGGTTCGATGTGATTATAAGTCCTGTATTTCCTTCGTCTATCTTTCCTTCAGAGCAACAAGAAGTCATCTCATTCACAAGTTGCTTTCCTTCCTACTTGTCAGTCTTTTCTCTATCTGTCTCTCTCGATCTATTGTTACCCTCTTCTATAAATCGAAAAGTCTTGGTTGAAGCCATACCTTGTTGTATTATTTGTAAAAGTGAGGACCCCCAATACATTCTTATTTCTAATATATAACTAAGACTAATGATTCATAAGTGAAGAGGTTCCGTGAACTGCTTGCGATTTTTGCCTTGCAGGAAGCGGTACCTATGGTAGTTTGGCCTCTACAGCGGTTTTCACGGATTAACCACCAACCCGCCTATACACTAACCCGCCTCTCCAATAACTACCCAAAGTATCATACCCAATACCAACTAACAAAATAGAAGAGGTTTACCCAGCCCACCCAAACACAGTATGATAAGCGTTGTTACTGCTTGCCCCGCCCCCATGCCCCCACCCCACCAAGCAGCATTCCCGCCCTCCGCCGCTGGCAGCACCCTCACCCTTAGCTACGCCGGAAGCATTCTCTCCGCTCTGCTGGTACGATAATCTATCAAGCGTCTGCCGCCAAGTCATTTATCACCGGACCCTAATGTCGTAGGTGGGGAAGGAATCCTTGAAGCTCTTCCGGGCACCTTCCTATAGGGGGTTAAATTTCAAATGAGGACCGGAAACGATCTAACCTAGTGGGCGCGTTTTCGTCGGAGGCACCCTTGGCGTTCGGAGCACGAACTTGGTGATTCATCAGGGATGTCAAGCCGTTGCCCATAAAGCAGCCCATAAAACCACCCCCCTAATCACATATAATGTTGGCGAGTAGTATGGAAAGAATAGCTGAAAAATATAAGAATACACAGTTAGTGAACAGGATTGTACAATACTCTAGGATTTCTTAAACAAACTAAAAACCAGTTCCCGCATCGTGTATACCAGGTATGGCGAACAAATATTAGTTGTTGGTCGCCCAGACACTTCTAAAGGGGCGTGGAACCAAGCCAATTTTAAGCACCATCTCATCCTTCTGGCTACCAGGCTTCTACCGATGAGTTTTCGAGCAGCTATACTATTCCTTTAATATCACCAAATCAAAGAGCTAATCCTCCAGGCCCTTCTGGCCAGAAAAGGCCAACAAGCTGCTTCCAATAGGCGCCTGCGTCGGCAGAATTGGGTGCGCAGACTTACACCAACCACATTTTAGCAATATATGGGGGAGTAGGAACTTGGCCGGCGTGAAAGTTCATGTGCTAGATAGTGACTTATCTGGCTTAAGCAGCTACAGCCAGTTGATCTCGCACTGTATTTTACACTAGCACTAAGGAGTTGTGCTCAGCTACCACAACCAAGGTGCTAACCATAATGAACCCATCCAGGAATCGCGGTGTCTGTGGGCAGTCTGTTACACAATATCTCGTTGCCATGCCCACTCGAGTACTGCTGTTATGCCGCTGTTGGTGGATTAGCGGGAGTCACTCGGGTAGCTCTGATAAAAGAAAGTTAACACTATCCCTGTTAAAATGCATCTCCCCATCCCGCAACCTCCCACCAAGCTACCTTCAGCCCAACATGGCTCTGGGATAATAAATTTAGATTGAACAAC